AAAATTTAATAAATTCTAAAATATCACAAAATTCACGTGATAAACCCGAATTATTAAAACCGGTTCCAACCTCTAATGTGTAGGATAATTCTTATATGGTAATCACTTACACACTTATACAAGAATTATCACTTATTGTAACAAGATAGGTTTATTTCTCTCATGTTTTAATTTTGGTTTTTATTTGTTCTATATAGTAACAATCCTGCAATCTCGTTTAAATAACATACGATCTTTTCCCAATTAAAATTATTATTATATATAATGTATTATTGTTTAGTATAAATATTATAATTCTAAAGAAATGAAATGCAACGAAAGAACGGATTACTTTACAATCTGCACTGTCAATTCCCCATTACCATTACTATTTACAAATAGTGGACTTAACCTAGAATATACAAATGCCAAAACAGTTTGTTCATTAACATCTGGATTTACATGCACATGAAGCGTTCCAACTAATTGTCCATACGAGTTTTGCCAGAAATGTGTAGCATTCAATGAAAGAATTGTTGGATGAAGTAAAATCTAAAGCAAAATAAATAGAGAAATAAATAAATAATAAATAAATAATAAATCAATAATAATAAATAATAAATAAAAATAAATAAAAATAAATAAAAATAAATAAAAATAAATGAAAATAAATGAAAATAAATGAAAATAATAAAATAAAATAAAGATTATTATTTTCATTCGTAGTTAATGAATACCTCACGCAAACAATCATCTAAGCTTTTCGATGCTGCGCTAGGAGTTGTTTGTAACAAGATTTTTCCTAATGCTGATGCTACTGGTATTGCTATGTAAAACATTAATACCGATTCCACGATCGACATTAATTCATCTAACCAACCAAAATTTCGGCTGTGTAAATAAATATATGATGTTATTCCTTGATTTCTAAGCTTTGTTTTTATCCGTAAAAATAAATGACTTGATCCTCACTTTTTTTCCTGCAGAAGTCCAACAATTATTACCCCAGTGCCACACAATAACAAAATTATTGTGATGACATTAGTAAATATTATTGATAATGTATAATTTGGTTGTAAATAATAAGTATATGCTCCCTTATTGAACGATATTGATCTCGATGCTATTGTTAATTATAATAAAGTATATTGTAAGCATGAAGATATTAAAACATATAAAGTTCTTGAGCGACAAATTAACCAACATGCAAAAAACCCTTTATGATTTTGACAACCGATGGATGATATTAATGTGACACACATGGCTAGTAACACCCACAAGGTCGGAATTTTGGGACTAATTATTTGAAAATTGAGATCAGAATTTAATATCAATTTAAAAACATATAAAGAACATAATTACCTATGAACATTAGAATGTTCATGATTTGATTCTAATATGAAATGCTCTAATCCTTCCTTTAGCATATATAAAGCAACGAATAAAAGATATAGTGCGCTCGCAAAACCAAATAATATTTCAAATCGCTGAATACTACGAATATTAAAGTGTGATTACCTAATGAATTTAATATATTATAATACATTTTAAAAAGAAATGAAAAAAAATACCCGAATGGGTTCCGTATCGAAGAAAGTCTCAGTGACCCATATGTTGTCAGTACGGATGAAATAAATGTTGCGAATACTCCCATCGCATCAAAGATTACGAGATAAGCGAATCCAGTGAGAGCTAAACCGGTATATTAAAATTGAACTTAAATAAATATCGTTCAAACTAAACGTAAGCAATTAGTTAATGCTGTTTACCTAAACCATCACACCACTGGCCTTTCAGCCACAGAGATATCCCTAAAGATAGATGTATAACACTCCATGCGAGTAAAATTCTTTTTGATAAAGGCAAGGATAAAAGTATATGTAATAAAGAGGATAATTGTTTCATTAAATATTTGAACATTTGCGAAGATCATATAGAAATAAAAAACGAGATATATTAAAAATCATGTGACTGTTATTTCAGTTTTATTTTGTGGGCGGTTAGTGTTACACGAGATTTTACATAAAATGCAGTAACGATAACAATTTTAGTATTTACCGCTGGTGTCGATACCGGGATTAGACCAAGTTTGGGGTTCTAAATCAGTTCATATGTGAAATCAACCGAACATAATCAATTGATCATGATATCAATGACGACACCTATAGAATTAAATGCCTCTTTTTCTATTTTCGTGATCTTCGTTATGCCACCTAAACACTAAAAAATTTCTACTCAACTGATTGACGAAAGTTGCATTACAAAAAATATTAAAATTTATTGAATGAAAAATGAAATAGCAGTATTAGGGGGTTTCAAAGTTAACAAATGAGTGGCGCATTTTGAAATTAAATGAGAGTTTGAAAAATCTTATTTGTATTTCAAAATTTAAAATCGGAAAATGAAATGGGAGTGTCTGAAGATCCCCATTTAACGAAATAAATAGACTTTTCAACGACAAAATTCATCATTTCGAATTTATCGGAAAATGAAATAAAGTTGATACATCGCTCATTTGAAAATAAATCTATAACCAATTTCAATTAAAATTAGATTTCCGCATTTTAACTTTGAAACCCCCCTATTCATTACGGTTGATTAAATGTTAAAAGATGGGTTTGAGAATTTAAAATAAGGGAAATGATTTGCGTACATCGGTTTTGTGTAACATCACGTACATCAATTTTTTTTGGCCAATGAGATTGTAGCACTAGTACCCAAAATTTTCGGATTTTGGAGGCGCAGCAAATTTGATTGGCTAAAAAAAAATTGATGTACGTGAAGTTACACGAAACCGATGTACACAAATCATTTCCCTTAAAATAAAGTGTCTATTTTTTCATATCGGTTAGAAATTTGAGATTTCATTGTTTATTATGTTTGATATGTAAAATTAAGTAATGATTGAACGACCTTTGTCAATGGTGAATTGTATCTCACTTGGTTAATTTATTCAATTTTTGACTAATTAGAAATTTACCTCAGATCCTAATACATGTTTTACACTCAATATCTGATATAGTTTAAGAATTTCATGAAAAAAAATTTGACGACTTAATAAAAGGATCTGAAATTGTTTTAGGTTGACTTAACCCGATTCGTTATTTTACTATAAGATTAAAATTTCGCGCGTTCAGTTCAGAATTAGAGTTTGCTGCAAGGTTAGGATTAGAAAACTATGGTTATTGTTTTAGCAAAATTTCATGAGAAACCTTTTTGGTAGTACGCAGAAGGCACTTTCATAGGCAAAATTTAAACTACATTATTTTGTTTCTTTGCGTTACACGTGACCTTGAAGTATGATTGACCAGCTGAATTTTTTATTCTGGTGATTTAACTGCTAATAAAATACCGACATTTATAACTGACTAGAGTTCTGCAAGTGCTGGCCGGCCCGTCTAGGGTTGTGTAATTACCGTGATTTTACGTAATTTATCAGTTATCGTTATGTAATTGATGGAGTTAAAATTCGGATCATACATTCAAATAAAAAATGATAAATTTGATTTACTGAAATTTACGTTAAAATACATGTACGTACGTACAGTTATTGTAAGATTGTAACTAACTTTCGTAGCACAACCCTAGGCACGGCACGAGCACTACTAAAAGATGTTTTGATAGCGCGCGTTCCGGAACTTGCAGAATCCCATAGCTGACCGTTAATTTTAACAGCTCCGATATATATATACAACTTACTCTCATTATAAAGCTGAGATGTCTTCTATACGTATATCGGGATGAAATTAGAGATGATAAATATTTTAAAACGTGATCTTAATATGTTTTAATCTATAGGTTACCCTCGTTAATATCAACCTATTTGAATTGGTTTTAAATCATGTTGATAGTGATATTAACGAAAAATCATATTAACGTTGATATATATGAGGGAATTTTGATATATAAAAATTTATAACAATTTGTTTTGTGGCTTAGGTTGATATGAACGAGGTTGATATTAACGGGAGTAACCTGTATCATGACGTAATCATCCTGATTATATATAGGATTCGTGCACACAAATACTTTACTAAATCGCAAATTCTAGTTTTCTTTTTTTCTTATTTTCCAAAAGTATATTACTAAAGCTGGTGAGTTCTTCAAGCTATTGCTAGGGATGGATCGGTCCTGCCAGTCCTAAGCAGATTGCAAGATTTTTATATCTTTTTTTTCTTCGTAAGCCACTAATTAGAGTTATTTAAACCAAATTTTAATACATAGTACTACTTATTGAAAAATAATGGCTACCAGAAGAAAATACTTGTTCAGTTACATTTCGTGAGAACTTTTGATCAAACTTTTTTTTTTTTTTACATACAGCATCTTTTCGTTCTCGCTCATTTCCGTTCGATCCTCCCGCTTGCCGCTCATTCTTGCACCCGCTCGTCAACCGTACTTACTTATTGAAAAAATAATGGCTATCTGAAAATAACCTTGTACCAGAAGAAAATACATTTTCAGACATTTTACAAAAAACCCACACCGAATTTCCCTGGAGATAATATAACGTGTAGAATTGTATCTATTTGGATCGATCTATCCCTAGCTATTGCTTTGGTATTCAACCAATTAGCTGGTGGATGTCAAATTTTTCAACTGTTTATCAATTCATAAAGACGATGGCTGGTTGAAGGCGATGATAATAACAATTGAAAAAATAAATTATTTTATTACGTGAAAGCGAGAGTTACAGAATTGGAGCAGACTTTGAGAATGAGAGTTGAGAAGTTGCAGCGAGAAGTGGAAGACAGAGAGTTTCATATTGGAGATTATTCAAGAGAATCAGCAGCAGAATGAAGCGTATGCAAACTTAAGAAATATGTTGAGGACGAGAAGTGGAGGATAGAGTTTTATATAGGGGAGATTATTCAAGAGAATTGGCAAAGGAATAAAGTGTATGCGAACTTGGTTGTGAAGATAAATATGTTGAGGGCTCGGTGTTTTGCTTCTGATCACAAAATAATTCATTTGCAAGAATCTAGTTTCACATTCTTTGCAGACTTTGGACTTTCAATATCAACAAATATAGCACTGAATGCAGCACTTAACTGATAGACAAATTATACATTTAAAAATGTAATAATCTAATGTTATAGTAATAAAAAAAATATATATATAAAGTAATTTGGGGGAATTAAATTTTTCAAAATTCGTCAATAGTAAAATTTCATTAAAATATTATAATTACAAAATTTTATTTCAAAATAATATAATTCTTTTGTCGACTTAAATTCTAAAATAAAACTTCAACGGTAAGTAAAGTGGCGGATCAACAGATTAACATATAAACGGGGACATCTAAAGTGGAGGCAACTCATATTTCTTAATAATTTACTCGATTAACTTTAAGGTTAGGGTCGCCTTCTCGACATTTTTTATTAATTTTTTGGGAACGTCTAAGGTTAGGGCTAGTGATCCGAATCGTTTAGTTGAAAATCAATTAATTGACAAATAATTGATTTAAAACCACTAATCGATTTAATTATCAACGAGTTCATGTTCCGCCTAGTCAGACTAATCTGTATTGATTTCTTTAGTTTGATTGGCTAATAGGCAAATTTAGTCACCTGATATGAAAAATCGATTATAGTTTGTAACTAATCGATTGGCAAAATTTTTACCAACTAGGAACACTGCCCTAAAGTTAATTCAATAAATATTATTCATCTCCGCTTTAGATATTCCCCCTTTTTAGGAGTTTGTATTACCCGGCACATAATTGTCAGTATATGCATTATACATCATCCTCGCTTTAATCAAATCAGAATCGAATGTTTTTTATATTATTTGATAGTTTTGATGAGACGAATCGAATGGTATAAGAATCATTAGCGTTAGATTCCAGTTGATAAACCAAGTTTTAACTTCAATAATGTGTTATCCGCCACATTACCCACTCACGCCAGAATACCCTCCTCTACCTTATATAATAAATGGGTGCTTCTAGGCATTTCCCGCGGGAGATATCTCTCTCCTGCAATAACGAGCCATAGTTTAGTGTAACGTAATACGATCTGAAAAATTCAAAACAAACGTTCGTTAGCGAAAAATTGGTTATTTGTTTTCAAAAAAAAAACGTATAAGAAACATCCTTTTGCGCTCTAACGAAAAATTTTCCTTGTGTAAATTTATTATATGTTTTGGTTATCTCTACCTAATCAAATGCTATCCTAACATAAATAAACTTTAAAAATTCTGGGAGGTATATCTCGCGAGAGATGCCATAATAATTAAATTGGCCAAAGTATATTCTTATAACTTTTTATGTTTTTTATTTTTTTTTTCTTTACATGTAACGTAATATTTGTAACGACTCAAGAATACATTTTTTTGCTGACACGGAAATTAACCAATCAGAAGTGTTGTTTCAGTTTTAGCCAAATTTTAACAAATATATAATGAAAGTTCACTACAACAAGAGTGTGCTGTATTATATACTATCTATTAAACGGTTTGACAGGTAATTTTTTTGCAGATTTTATGACTGATCTGTGATTAAGCTACCAAATTAATCGTTTAAGGGATGTCATATCAGTGTTGGTCATCCCTATAATTCCAATAATTTGAACATGTTCCAATTGGAATCTATAAGTCCAATGTTCCTGTTTATAAACCAGTGAAACAAGGTTGGTCCAATTGTCCAATACTGACTATATAAGTTGATTTTGGAACCAACTATTATTAAATATATAAAAATAGTTTCTTATATAAGCACATTTTTCTATGTGAGTGATGCCAAGGGAAAGGGCACCTTGGCAATTTAAGTCTATTACTAAAATTCGACTGTAATTAGGTAAATTAAATCAGATGACCATTCTAAAAATACTACGATGCTTTAGCGCATTTCTTCTAATAGTTTAGCAATCTCAAGTTATTAATAAACATTAGCTAATAGAAGTAATCGATAGATGTTTCTCAATCGCTACTATAATTACATATTTCACCATCTACGATGTTTATCTCCTTTTACTTTACATGTCACGTCCTTGGTTTAAATTGCTACTTAATATTAGAAAAAAAGTTTTCCATTGTTATTTCTGCAAGTGATACTTAGAAATAAGTTTACGCGGTCTTGCGATCTACATCGAAATTTTCCTTTTTTTTGGGTTCGTATTACTCACAGAAATAAATGTAAGCGATTCCTATAATATAGGTAGTAAGACAAAAAACAGATAGGATTAACACTTCTATATATCGACATTTAGTGAACCTTATATCCGATATGGACAACTATTCAATCCGATTCGTGAATTTGGGAATGCAGTGCAATATATGTTGAGGTGTTCGTGTTACTCATACGATAAATCTTTTCAATCCTAACGTACGATTATTTTTTCGACCCTTCTCTAAATTATAGCATCTGTTTATGTACGTACGTACGTACGTACCTCTTCACCATATTGTTTATTCTGCTGCTTCTCTTAATTATTTGTTTTATGCATTTTTGTTTTGCTTTTTTTTTTTTCTCTGTTGTTATCGGATAAATTTCAGTAAATCTAGAACATTTCTTTTTTGGGATAAGGTTGCGTTTTAAATATTTTTATGATTTTTTTATGCATAGCTAATTCAAATAAGGAAATCAAATATATTTTTGATCTACATTAATATAAAATTTATTATTACGAAAGAAATGAGATCAACAATACTACACAATATACAAATTTTAATTCTGTAATTAAGAGTTAACCTCCAATTTTGTTTATAAATCACCAAATTTTCAACCGATTCTTCATCCATTCCTTCTACTTTATATTTTTATTAGCATTAATATGAAAATTTGGTTTTATGCATACGCTTCTGTGGTGACCTTTTTCTGGGTAGCTACAAAATTGGTGAATTGTCAAGCTGCAATAACTGGACAATGGGATTTTGTAGGACATTCAGGTGTATCTAGCATGCATGCCATCCTTTCTCCTAATACAAACAAAATAGTGTTTATTGAAAGAGTAGAATTAACCACAAATGTTACAATAAATGGAAAGCCTACTTACTCTGTAGAATATAATCTTGATACAAATGAAATAAGAGCTTTGACTACATTATCTAATACTTTTTGTTCTGCAGGGTCTTATATGAAAAATGGGGTAAATTTTTTTATTATCATATCCTACTGTCTATAAGCACCTTTAACAATTGTGATTATTTATATTAGTAAACTTTATACCTAAATTTTACATGAATAATTAATTTTATATCTTTCTTTTAGACTATCCTAAATCTAGGCGGTGCAGAGGCTCAAAAAGGTTTTGCCGAAGGGTTTAACCGGGTCAGGTTGTATAATCCTTGTGATGATGGAACGTGTGATTGGCAAAATGATGTTAATAATCTTAATGCGAAAAGATGGTATCCAACCGTCGAACAGTTGGCTGATGGTTCTTTATTTATCATTGGCGGTTCAACGCAAGGTGCTGCAGTTAATAATGCAACTATAAATGTAGCTAGCTATGAAATCTATCCTTCGGCTCCTGGTGAAACGTCCATTCCATTACAATTTTTAGTGGATTCTTTGCCAAACAATTTGTATCCTTGCGTTCATCTCTTACCTGATGGGACACTTTTTATTATGGCGAATCAAAAGGCAATTGTTTATGATGTCATATCTCGGCAAATTAAAACAAATCTACCCGACGTTCCTAGAGCAGCACGAAACTATCCATTGACTGGTGCATCTTCAATCTTACCGTTAGATTCTAGCAATAACGCAGAAATTCTTGTTTGTGGAGGTGGTAATCAAATTTCTCCTTCTAAGACCGTAGGTGAATTTAGCTGCGCACGTATTTCACCTACATCAAGTAATCCCACTTGGGAAATAGAAGAAATGCCCTTTGGCCGAACAATGCCAGATATGACCATTTTAGCAGATGGCACTATTCTGATTCTTAATGGCTGTAATAATGGTACTGCCGGTTTTAATAAAGGCAGTGATCCAGTACTCACTCCAGTTATATATAATCCTAAAGCGCCAGCTGGTTCGAGATTCACTAAAATGCAACCATCATACATTCCCCGTATGTATCATTCCATCGCTATAGCAATTCCATCAGGTAAGGTCCTAGTATCAGGATCAAACCCAAATAATAAACCAAATGTTGATGGTCCATATCCGACTGAATTCCGTGTTGAAACATTCAGCCCACCATATTTATTTACTGGGGTTCCACCTCCTAAGATCCAACAGGCACCTAAAGATTTAAAGTATGGTCAATCTTTTGATATTAATTATGTAGCTTATAGCGGTACTCGCAAGATGACCGTCAACTTACATCAACCCGGTTTCGTGACACATTCTGTACATATGAGCCAACGGTTGGTTTGGCTCGATATTACCAAGCTTGAAGATAATAAACTATCCGTGACAGCCCCGGCTGGTGGTGCTATAGCTCCGCCCGGGCCGTATTTATTGAACATTTTAGACAATGGTATACCAGCAAAGGCGGCTTGGGTCATGTTATCATAATAAAACTAAATATATCCATATACTTTAAAAAAATAAATCATATACAAATGTATTATTTCAGGGATATATAGAGATAGTCACATCAAAGGTACAATTAAGCATTTTTAAATATACTTTATTTAAATCCTAATCAAAATATTATCCTCATCGTCGTAGTGATAGAAGATAATTAAAAGTTTTTTTTTATTTGTTTCGCACCATGTAACAACGATATAATTTTTAAAATAGATTTTGTATTATTGTTCTAGAAACAATTATGAATACAAAGGGGTCTTGTAGGCTCTGGCATGATGTGCTATTTTTTTTTTTTTTAATGACTGGTACTTTTGAATCCGTTATCATTCACGTGCATGTATACAGAATTTATCAGTGATACTTTATTAACTAATAAGCATCAAATTTTGTTCTAAACTCTGGAAACACGCCATTATGGCTTGATCTCAAAATTCCAGGTACATGCGCATTATCTATATTTATTTGGTACGTAAAATATTTTCATAGTTAAAATCTTCATATATTATTTCTGTATTTTCCCATGTTGAAAGAGTATCCGGGACCCATATCCAATCCGAATTGTGGGTCCAGTACTAATAAAATCAGCAAGCATTAATTTCTTTAATTCGCTTGTTTGATTTTTAAGTCCGTTCTGAAAATAAAAATAAAAGTTAAACTGAAATACTTATAAGACATACAGAGTATACATAAAAATACACACCACCAAAGCATATAACAGTTCAAATACTTCTATAATTTTCGACTTCCTCAAAGGAAAATGGTAATATAGCAGACTTGATTTGTGAAATCTTATAATAATGTCTTCTGTCTAGACGAAGTTCACTCAGTGTGATTCGGTCACCTATAGTAAACTACAAAATAAGATTTATACTACTCAAAAGAAACTATGAATACAATAAAGTAATTATATTACCAATGCACTGCACCATATAGGTACTTGCACTTTCTGCATTTTTATCTAAAAAGTCTCTAAGCAAAGCGACCAAGCCGAACATACCCTCTTTTATGAGTTTTTCAGTATCTTCTCTAACGTGCTTTAAAATGGCATTTTCTGGTCCTCCGGATACTTCAATAAATATGATTTCTTTGTTGCTAGAAACCTTAAAACCGATCCCATCTACTTTATTTAACTTCAGATCAAATTCTGGAAACAACATTTTTGCATCTTTGATACAGTTGGCTTGGACTTCTATCCAATCGAATGTATACTCCCGGTAAACAGATTGGATAGCCTTAAATAAAGGAACAATTCTATCAACGGTATATTTCCTTTCCCCAATATAACGAATCAAAGGTCCATCAATAGTCATGGAAAAACTATTTTGTGTTGATAAATTAGTCGGTTATACCTGGAAAACAAATAAAATCAGTATATACTCACAAATCATATAGAATACTTTTGCAGGCTTTCAGGAATGGGTGATCAAGATTTGAAGTCATAATAGCACTCTCAAATACGTTCTTTTCTGACTAATTAATAAATATTTTTAGTGTATTTGATGCAACATTTGAAAAATTTATATTTGCCTACCGATAATACATCTATAAGCCAACTGCGAATTTCTTTTAAAGTATCGACATTATCAGCTTTCATTATCACACATTGTTTGTTGACGTATATTGAAAAATAATTGTCTAAGTATTGCATAACTTTATCACAAAGTGTTGGTTTTTGTGGCGTTGTTATAGTCGTTTTGCATGGTCTTTGAGGCGGTGTCTTGAACTAATGAATAACAATTAATTAATAGAAAAAATAAATTGCATGAAAATCAATCTAATGCTAACTTACACCATCGTCATTAGGAGCGATTGTAGAATAAGACTCTACTGAATCATTTAGGATACTTGAAAGTTTCATTATAGACGCGTTTGTCTAAAAGATATAAATACATTAATATGTTTTATTATTATACAAAAAATAAATATATAATATTATAAAGAATAAGCTAACCTCAACAAATCGACTTTGAGGTAGTTCACTATTTTGGGCTTTGATTCTTTTATCTCGAATAAGCTTAATCTCTTTCCGGTTGCTGATCCCGTTTGTATATGTAACTTAACTATTGAATAATGAGAATCATGTCAATTTTCATATTTTTATAACTTGCCGTAACAACAAAAAGTACTTGTGCCTGCTCACTTTGTGCTTGCCCGTTTTGTGCTTGCTCATCTTGTACTTGCCCGTTTTGTGCTTGCTTGCTTTGTGCTTGCCCGCTTTGTGCTTGCCTGCCTTGCCTTGTACTTGTATTTTATACATCAGAAGACACTATTTGCCATAGTTTTCTCTTCCTTTGTATGTCCATGTTATTGTAATTATTCCAAAAGGCGTTTACTTCCGGCGAACTTTTATATCCTTAAAATGATGAATTAATGATTAGCATTTCACTGTTTCGTGATAAATGAATTAAAGGCACAAGTACTATTAAGAAATAGCGTTTGACTCATGATCAGAAACACCCTACAACACATGGTCAGTAGTGCCACGCTATTTTTGGACTGTTGATAAATCACTACTGACTCTTGGTCATCACTGTGCAACTTCATGGTCCCACTAGTGTGTAGCAACAATAACTCATGGTCTACCAAAAATTTTCAGATTTTTGGCTTATCAACAGCCATTTTTTCAAAATAAATACAACCTGCCAATCTCCCAATATCAGCCTTGCAATTTCTTCTTTACTCCAACTTGGCATGAAATCTTTCTGATTATATCGATAAAAACGCTATGTTCATACGTTTTATTTGCAAAATCCACGAAGTTAGATCTCCAATGGAGATATCCCAAAAGCGACCAGCATCTGGATCAGTTTGGTTAAAGTAATCCATTGTGTATACAAAGCGACTTAAATGACGCGTCAGGGTAAGTGATTGACTTTTGCGTATTACGTATAATATATATCTATATCAACCCCACCAGGAGTCTAGACACTATCTTCCCCAGTATTGCCATAAAAAATTTGCAGTCACGTGAAATTTTTGTGGCGCAATCCAATCAGATTTCAAGATCAGGTGTAACGTAGCACAATCAGGAAAATTCAAAACAAACGTTCGTTTTGCCAAAAATCGCCTATAACTCAAAAATCTGTATAGGAAACCGCCTTTGGTGCACTAACAAAAAAAATTTCTCGAGTTATTTTACTAATATATCTACAAATATCTAACTATAATATAAACGTTAACCCTGACCTTAATAAATTTTAAGAA